ACTTTGTATCCTCTCCAAGTAATCTCATTGTCTTGAAAATTTAAATACCATATGGGGGCTGGTGCTCCTCACTGTGTTTATTCAGTTTTGACTTTTCCCCTACATTTCAGATTCATGTATTCACTTGATGTTTAATATGAACCTTTAGTTTGTTCAGAACTGAGCTCTGATCTTCTCCCATTGTCTTTCTTTAGTCTTCCCTTACTAAATTAATGATACCTCTATTTTTTCATTACCATTGTAAGCCTTCAGTCATCTTCTCCCCTAAACCTCTGAGGCTTCCTTGGTTCCTCTCTCTGATATCCTACAGTAGATCCATTAGGTAATTCTATCAGCTCTTCTAAATATATCTAGATCTGACAACATCTTTTCACCTCCATTGACCCTACCCTGGTTTAGGCCACCATCCCCTTCCCCCTGAATTGAAGCTGTCTTAGTCTGTTTTCTGTTGTTTATAATACAGTACCACAGACTGGGAAAATTATAAAGAAAGGAGATTTATTTTGACTTATGGTTCTGAAAGTCTAAGCTTGAGGAGTTGCATCTAATGATGATCTTCTTATTGTCAGAGTCCTGAGGTGGTACAGTGTATCACCTGGTGAGAGGCAGAGAGTGCATGTGTGTATCCTTAGCTTTCTTTTTTCTCTTCTTATAAAGCTACCTGCATTCAATCATGGGGGCTCAAAGCCCCCATTTTAAATACTTTAGTATTTAAGTTTCTACCCTCATAATATTTCACAGTGGGGATTAAATTCCAACATGAGTTTTGGAGCGATAAACCATATTCAAACTGTAGCACTGGGTCTTATATTGCCAGTCTCCTTGGTTTTGCTCTTGCTCCTTTGTGGTTTATTTTTAATCCAGGACCAAGTTTATCCTGCTGAAATTAAAGTCAGCTCAAAATCTCCCATTGACTGTTCATTTGGAGTAAAACTGGTTTTTATTTTGGCTTATGAGGTCCTATGCACTGTATCTCTATGCTGTTGACTGTCTTCTGCTCTCACTATCATTCTCTCTCATTCAGCCATATTGATGTACTTCCAGGTCCTGAAACTAC